AAAAAAAAAAAAAGCCAAGTGTGGTGGCTCACGCCTATAATCCCAGTACTCTGGGAGGCTGAGGCAGAAGGATTGCTTGGAGCTCAGGAGTTCAAGACCAACCTGAGCAAGAGTGAGACCCCATCTCTACTAAAAACAAAAATATTAGCAGGGCATTGTGGTGAGTACCTATAGTCCCAGCTATTCAGGAGGCTGAGGCAGGAGGACTGCTTGAACCCAGGAGTTTGAGGTTGCTATAAGCGAGGCTGAGGCCACAGCAGTTTAACTTGGGCAACAAAGTGAGACTCTGTCTGAAGAAGGAAAAGAAAGAGGAGGAGGAAAGAGGAAGGGGGAAGAGGAGAGGAAGAAAATAAGTATTGGTGAGAATGTGGAGAAAGAAAATCCCTGCACATTGTTGGTAAAAATGTTAGCATGGCCATTATGAAAAACGATATGGAAGTTCCTCAAAAAAATAAAAATGGAACTATGATATGCTCCAGAAATTCCATTACCAAATATACATATCTCAAAAATACAAAAAAATATGAAATTAGTATGTTGAAGAGATTGTATTCCCATGGCATTACAACACTATTCAAAATACGCAAGATATAGAATCAACAAATTGTTCAAGTACATTGAAGAGATATCTGCACTGCCAAGGTCACTGCAACATTATTCGAAATATCCAAGATAGAGAATCAACAAAGTGCCCATCCACAGATAAATGAAAAATAACACATGTACTTATAATGGAATACTCCCCAGCTTTTAAAAAGAAAGCAATCCTGTCATTTATTACAACCTGGATTAACCTGGAGGACGTTATATTATGTGAAGTAAGCCAGGCCCAGAAAACAAAGACCACATGATGTCACTGTTACAGGGAATCTAAAGAAAGCTGAACTCAGGGAGTAGAATGGTGGTTTTCAGGGAAAGGGGTTGAGATATTGAGAGATATTGGTCAAAGGATACAGAATTTTAGTTAGGAAAAATAAGTTCAAGAATCAACTTATCACTATTGCTCATAACAATATTCTGTGTACTTTGAAAATTTCAAAAATTATAGATTTTAGGTGTTCTCAGCACAGGTAAATATTTGAGATTTAAAAAACCACCCAAGAATATTTTAACATTTTTTTTCATATTTCATGTAAATAAAGGCAGCACTTTGCAATGCAAGAAAAAACGGGGTTTGAGTCCTCACTGAGGGACCAGTTAGATTAGAATTGCTTAGTGTCCATTCTTGTCTACACCAGGAAGTCAATTTAGGTCAGAACTACATCAGCAGAGTGAAATGATGAAGGTCATTCTCTATTCTAGATAATTCACATGAAAAGAAACGTTTTGCCAGAATGTTCTGGGACAAACCAATTTGAAAGGATATCGTGTACTCAGGAAGATCAGGAACAGGTGACAGTAAGATAAGAGGAGATACAAAGCCAAAGACAGGGTCTCTGTGAAGATTCCAGCTTCTTAACTATTTCTGGGAACTCTGAATCTGAGCAGGGTAATTATTTTACTTCCTATAACAGAAAATCTAAGAGACAAAAGCAAGACATATTTTCTTAATGAGTGACCTGTAACATCTAGAAAAAGTCTTTACATAGTCAAGGCATACCTAAGTCAATGTCTTGCTAATTTCTGCAAAAACATGTATATACCCTGTATGATACTGTGGAAATCATCAAAATTAAGTAAAAGCTAGCTACTTCTGCCAGGAGACGCATGTGATTTGGAGTTTCCTTTCTGTGTAATTATATATATTCTAGACTTAACTTTTTAAATACAACCTCAAGTCTCTTGGTGAAATCTTTTATCCCAAACTTCAAGCTTTCACATCCTGCACACACACACACACACACAGGAGTCAAATAAATAGTTATTCTATCTTATTTCTATATATAACACATCAACATTGTTTAATTCTGACATACTTAAATGGTAGCTAAAGGCTCATAACACAATGCAGCCCATTCAAACAATGAACACCACAACGATACTCTAACATGGTGAGGGGTGGACTATTTTATTATAAGTCAATTATTCACATTCCATAGGATTAAGTGAGATGTAACATTTTAGCATTTCAGCTGCAACATCTCTATCTATAAGCCAATTTCATTAATTTTAAAAGAACTATGTGCCCATATAATCATCCATTCTAGAATTATGAGTGATTGAATAACAGTAATAAATAATAACAATAATTCAAATTTATATGGTGCTTTCCCACATGTACTATGGTGGTCCCACAGTCTGACTCCAGTCTGAACTTTACTATTGTATATTTATGTAGTCTTTGGCAAGTTATCAAACTTCTTTCTTCATTAGTTTCTTCATCTCTAAAATGGGCACAAAAATATCTGCGTAATGTGGTTATTGTAAGGATTAAATAATGTTTGTGGATGCCTGGCACATAGGATAAGATATAGAAGTTTTTGCTATTATTATTATCATCTCATTTTGATTCCAAAAATTCCTGTGAATGAGATAAGAGAGATTTGTGTATGTGTTG